TATGAAAGATTGTCTCTGATACAAGATTTGGATAGCTTCCAGCAATCCTTCTCTGATCTCTGTTCTGGTGGTGCCCTGAAGAAAGTCATGCATCAGGAAGCCATTCTGACAGACAGAGCTATACAGCAGAGAGACAAACCAGCTTAAACTGGAGGAACAGCAGACAACAGATGGATACAATCAGACAGCAAAATTCAGGGAAACAGTTAGACAGTACTGATCCAGAATATGACTGAGCTACAGTGAAAACATCAAGAGCCTGTTTTTATAGATATCAGAGGAAAGAGGAGTCTTAAGAAGGAATTTGAGGGGAGATAATGAAATAGCTCTGCAGATGTTTACTGAGATTCCCTCCCAGGCATGAAGCAAAATGTGGGAGGAACATGGAGGCACTTGTTTGAATATTTGTCATGTGGAGGTGGAACATGATCTTGTGGGTTATCAGAGAGAGATGATTGCATCTCTCTGGTGCAGCAGAGCTAGAGCAGCAGAACATAAGGAAACTGCTTCAGCCATCAGTCGGTTCCTTGGAGTTCTCAGGCTGAATCCACCAGTGGTTTTGAGAGATGTGGTTTTGGTAGGACAAGTAGAAGAGAAGAACAAGCATGGGAGAGGGATTGTTTAGGTGATTTTATTATGATTTTGGAGAATATCAATAATGTTTTTATAAGGAATCAGGGGAGGGATTCAGCTCCATTAGCTTTATTGCCTGTGCCTCGTGGCTCCAGAACTTAGTGTGCTCACACAAAGATACCTACACGTGGATCTTAGTAAGAACTGAATACCAAGGATATGAAATCTCATGCTGCTGGTTTAAATCCTTCTTCAGCTGACATTGGTAAGAGCTTTGCCTGAAACTTCAGCCAGACTAGGATTTCACTTTTTGTACTCTATGCAGTATTTTGTATTCAAGCATTTTGTTCAGCTTGCAGATGATGATACTGCTTTAATTAAAATTTCCTACGAGCTCTTGATTTAACTCCCCTATCCATCTGTTATTTCACTAATATCCCAGATAATGTCTTACAGTAGCTCCCAGAGAGCCTAGAAAAAAAAAAGTTATAACATCATTTACTGTTGCATTGTGAAGTACAATCAATGCATTATCTTTTCTAAGGGCTCCTACATCCTGAAGTAAAGCTTGGCTCTGAGAGCCAAGTCCAAGAGGTGTGAGCAGGTATCTCCACACATCAGTGTGCAGTTCCTTATGGAAAATAATGACTTGGATGTCAAAAGCAGTACAGCTGCCTGTGTCCCTGAGACAGTGTCCCTCAGTTTAGGGTCAGCCCCGTGTTAGTGCAGTGGCGTTGCCCAGCATTGGAACAAGCTAGTTTAGTGCATGTTGGGCTGTTTTGGTACCACTGCACTGTAGAACGGGTGCGCTTTAAATAGAACATATCTATAGATGCTTTTTAATAATGTGCTCTATTTTTTCTGATATATTCTATTCTGAAGAACTTTTTCTTCTCTTTCTGAGCTGAAAAATTGTGCCACAATAATAAGCAAGAGCACTCCTAAGAAGTGAATACATGTGAAAAGAACGACTCATTATTTGAATAGGTTTGCCTGAAGGGGCAATTTCTAAACTTTTAGTAAAATTCCATTCCTTTCCTTCATGTTAATTAAATGAAAGCTGGGGGGATAGGAGAGCATAATATAGTAGTGTGATATATCTGTGCCACAGCTCAAGAACCATCTTACCTCCCTTGGCTTTTTATTGAGTGCTGTGATATTTAGTTTTCAATAATGAACTGCTTTTATGCAAAAGTTTTCAGTCCTAACAAATGAAAGGAGGAACATGTTTACAGGAAACAAAAATTGCATAATCTCAGCAGAAGTCTATGACTGAATCACTGCTCTGTTCAATCCTGTGCCATTTGATATGGCATCAGGAGGTTTCTTGCTTCCATTGACTTGAATAAGAAAAGGATAAATGACCACTGCCATTAAGGCGTCAGGGCCACATTTGTCTCAGTTACAAATTATCCCTGTAGTAAAATAGGATTAAATAGTCCATGTTTATGACCTCCAACAAAATCTTCTAGGGAGATAATGTTATGCTTGGAATCAGTCTTTTCAGGCATTCTGGTGGAGTGGGTTAATGCAGTAGCAATATTTCTCCAGGTTTCCCCCCAGTTCTCATTTTCTCACTTGGAAGCAGTGACTTCTGGCTGCTTTGTGCTGGACCACATGCAGACACAGCAGGAGTCTCTTGGCTTCTCTGACTGCATCTGCTGTCCAAGCAACTGCTCCTCACTCCCTCAGAGGAAGACACAGTGGGCAAATAGAAATACTTTGCAGGCCAGATGGGGCTAATGGAGCACAAACTGGAGCATTCTGACCAAAATGCATATTTAATTGCAAGTTGTTTCTTGAATTTCTGGCATGGACTGTGCTTGACTGGTTTCTGGTGACCATGATCTGGTTTTGCATTTTTCCACTCCTGATCATGTCAGTATTATTCAGAGGCACTCAGACTTTCCAGGAATGGCTTAATCCCTCTGAGATCCGACATACGTACATGCATTCAGGTAGTTCTCCAGTAGTGCAGTTATGTTAAGTGGCACTCCTACAATTATAACTGTTGTCACATCCACTGTGATAGTTTCTGGGAAAATGTGCTTTGATTGTTTTTGTTTCATTAGGTTGTGTTTTTCACTCAAAAGGTTGGATTTAAGTTTGTGTATCCGAAGGAAAGTTAATGTTGCTTGTTCAGAATGTAAGGAATTTCCTTCAGGCCTTTGCTTTTGCCTTTCATACCTTTAGGAGCAATTCTCTAGATTTCACCAGCTAGGTGGGGGCTGATTAGGGTAACGTATATGAGGTATGCCAGGAGTGACAGTCTTGCTGGTCTTTGTTATCCACTTGTTTGGGTTTTTTTGTTTGTTTGTTTGTTTTTTACATACTCTGATATCCCAAAATTAGATGTGTTACATCTGTTACATATACATATGAGACCCATAACATTTGTGGACTTCTTTCAGAATATCCTTTGGACCAGATGATTTCAGTGTTACAACCTGCTTCTTAACATTTCCCCTGTTGCTTATTTAAACAAGGGATGCTCCTTTACCTCCTCTGTCAAATAATTCAAATTGTAGATCTAATTGTAGATCTCTTAAAGCAATTGCTGCTGCACTCTGCACCAGCAGTGGTATCATTCCATTTGTGGAAAATAAACCCTTGTTAAGTAAATGTGGTATGTGTTATGTAAGAGGAAACATTTAATGAGCAGATACTTTAAGTTCTGTTTATATTGTATGCACCTGATCAGTTAAGTTTTTCTTGGCCCCATTGTGTAAAACAATATGTCTTTGTAAGTAAGTAAGGAGTGAATTTGTTTTCCTGATATTCCCATCATGCTGGAACTAACATACCTGACATTGCAAAGCTTTGAGATTCTTCAAGTGAATGTTTGTAGAATACTGTAGAGACTTTAAATTCAGAAATAAGAGTAAGCATATATAGGTTGAAGATGGCTTGGTTATAAAATTTCGTTGCTTAAAAACATTTCCAATGCCTTCTGACGGTGTCTGTGGCTGGGTCAGTGTCTTCTCCATTTCTGTCCAGGTAGGACACCAGGTAGGAAGTTTGTAAGACAGGACATAGTTAAGAATCAGCCTTCAGATCCATCAGAAAGTTGATAGTTATCTGTGTTCAATTAAGACACCACAGAAGAAGGAACCTAACATACGAATCAAGCAACAATAGCAGAGGTCTGGAAAAAATATCCTAAAAAGGACAATTTTGGCCAAGACAAGATGTCTTGACTGGTAAGATTATGCCAAAGGTCAGACCACAAAACTGAAAGAAACGAGATCAGACTGAGAAGTAACTTAAGTTATGGCTAAAATCCAGCCCTCCAAAGGAATTAATCAGATGAGGCTTGGAAGGCTTTGTCTGGGAAAAGAGATGTCTTCTCTGACTTTAATTCTCTGGCTATTGTTATAAAGCCCTTTCATTGGATGTGGAGTGTGTGCAGCTTAGTTATGCACTAAATAAGTACCAGTGTGTGTGTGCATGAAATTGATGTGTGTTGGGAGGTTTTTAGTGGTCTCAGGCCAAAGCTTGCTCTCTGCCAGCAGACCTGTGGGCAAATACTGTTCACCCAGCTGCTGCACACAGTGGTGGTCCCACCACACTGGGCTGTGTTCAGCAGTCACCTAAAACATGCTGATCAGTGAGTCACTCATACACAGAACAGGCCTTGAGTAAATGTCCTCCTCAAGTTCCCTTTATAGCAGTTTCTGAGGATGAATCTGCTACTGAGGTAAGATATGCAGTTGGTTTTCCATAGGTAGAAAAGAGTGTATGAAATCTTACAGCCCATAAATTTTGAGCTGTCTGTGGGTGACCTTGCTCAGATTGTCAGCAGCATAGGAAAGATCTTGTAGGAGGTAAAACTCTTGAAAATACCTAGTGACGACTTTTAAATTACAGTCAAAGTACTATCCAGTAGTATCTGAAGTATTAAAAATGGGACACAATCTCCTGAATAATCTTTAAAATCAAGTGGACAAAATGGTTATAATAATGATAGGCATGACATTATTAAAGGTTAAAGGGGAAAAACTCAGCGGTTTTTCTCCCTTTTCAGAAAATGTGTATAAGATGAACTTCCTAGGCAGGCCTAGCCAAACTACTTTCTTTCCTACATGTGACCCACCAAGTCATTGCTCTAGTACAACCCTTTTCTTTGCCTTCTAACACTAGACAAAATAGGAAGCCATAATTTAGTCACCTCCACTTGTTCAATTAAAAAATAGCTTGTCTAATCATGAGCGTGCCAAGAGATTTTAGATAACAGTTTTTCTTACCGTTCTTACCTTCGTTTCTGTCCACATAAAAATTTTCCAGGAAAAAGATTTTCACATTCTGCATCCCAAGACTAATAAAAATTTAAAACAAATTTTTTGCAGGGTTTTTAATTCCAGCTTGTTTTTATTTACCTTTACCCTTTACAGCTTCCTCTAAAAGTGTGCTTTTTGCTCTTTATGCAGACTGTATGTGGATGGACCTTTTGGAAGTCCCTTTGAGGAATCCCTGAACTACGAGGTCAGCCTCTGCGTGGCTGGAGGTATTGGGGTTACACCATTTGCATCTGTGCTCAACACACTGCTGTAAGTGAGCTTAAGCCTTTAAAGACATTTTGCCCTGGTTTGCAGCATCAGTGCATGTCAGAAAGGCTTTGAGGGTCTTAGAAAACTTCCACTGGCATAAGTGAACTGGAATGATTCCTTGAGAAGATGTAGAGAATTGGGATGTCCCTAAAGGGCATAAATCCTCTTATACCAGCTCTGTAACCCAAAGAGTTGTGGCAGAGATGTGCCAGAGATGCACCAGAACTGGGACAGTGTCACCAGCCTTTGTATCCTGCCACCAAGCCTTATCAATCTAGTCACAGCCCTTCAGCAAGACTTGTTCCCCTAGTCCCAGCTTAGGTGAGCTGTGTACTCTTAACAGTTTTTTGGAATCAGACAGTTGTGACAATCCTTCTGCTGGAAATGCAAGACCAGCTCTCCTGGTTTGACTTTTTAAATTTTAAAGTCTAAGCTTGAGGTTTTAATAGAAGGGGATCAACCTGAATTCAGGTAGCATGCAAATGTTTAACCCCATTTGAAAAGTTTAAAGTTTAGGTATGCATTTTTCTATTTTTCCCTTCTTGTTTCTCTCTCTATTTTAAAATTTCATTTTAATGTAAAGCCTTTGATATTCTATGCAGATTAAACCTTTCACCTCTTGCTTTTCTGTCACATTGACAGCATGGTTCCCACTAAATCCTAAGCTGTCTGAAATAGGCTTCCTTTTATGATTGCTATTGACTTTATTTTTATTTGCTGGAGTTATTGGTTAAGGGCTACAGTCACAGCCTGTTTCAAAGGCCCAGTATAAATAGCCAGCCAAAGCAGCAAACCTTCCCTGAGAGGCTGAGAGGCTAACTGGCTTTGGGAGGGCTTTGCAATGCACAAGTAAAGCATTTCTTGCAAGATGAACATGCCAGGGGTCAGCTCTAACTCCAATGTGAAGTGTGGAATTTAAATCCTGTACACATTCTTCTGTTCTTAGCCTGGGCTGGTCTTGACAGTGCTACTGAAAGTTATTAGCCCTGTGTGTCTCATAGTGCTGCAGCCCCCAAAGGCCATCTTGGGCTCCCGCATTTTCGTTCCTTGAGAGCCTATGGATCACCCTCTCAAAACCAGGGTACATTTTTGCTGAAAGCCTGGGGCTCAGGTGGATAAAATGACTGTTTTCTTTGTGATGGATTATCCCTGATAGTGTTTAGCAAAAATGTCATGGAACACAAAGATGGGCCAGCAGCAGGTAATTATGTTTGCCTCTACCAGTGTGTTATCTGAGGCTGTAGGAATTCATACAGACACTGCAAGAAAATGGTAGTGTCCAAAGGATTTTGCAATGTCCATTTAGCTGCATAAAGCCATAAATTGACTTCCAAGGAACTAATTCCATAAACTGCCTTTGTAGCCACTCTTCCCCCTCTGCACTGTAAATATTCAAGGGAATCATTCTCAAGAAAAGAATTAAGCAGTCTTAGTGTGCTTCCCTCCTCAGTATTTAAACATCAGCAAAGCACTGGTTTAGTGTCTGATCTGCCTGTGTCTCTGCCCTGGCTTGGGAGCAGATATTGGCAGGTGTGAACATGCAAACTGCCTGATGGTTTCAGCGCTGCAGAGCAGCCAGGCCAGTCCTGTTGTGTCAAGGACACACAGGTCTAGGAGAGATCCAAAGTCTGTCCTTGAAATTGTTTCCTGCTCCATTGTTTTCCTGTTGTAGGCACATAATTTGATTTATGCTCCTGCCCTTCCCTCCACTTAGCTGTTGAACCCTGTGCCCTATTTTAAGAAATTGTAATGTACTTTACAGAAAGCTAGAGGCTTTTATGCACAAGAGTCTGTAAATAATGCCTGTTATGGGCAGCGTAACACAGAAATAGCAAGAAATGTTACATACACATGGTTGTAATGGGGGATTGCACCTCTCCTGCACAATATATCCTGACAGAGGTAGACACAGGCATATGTGTCTGGGGTGCTATTTTAAATCTATGCTGGATTTGTTTGATGAAGTCTTGCAGTCCAGCCTCTTTGTCCGGCTGCAGTGTTTCATCACCGAGAGTGGTGTTTTGTTACTGAACTGGGGCATTTCAATACAAAATGCCTTGCATTCTTCTCTTTTTATCCCTATCTATGGTGAAAGGCACTTACTTTCCTTGCTACTGTTTATAGTTCTCTTGTCATATCTGACCAGATGGTGACCTTTCCTAAGTGCTTGTCGTAGTCTAGGCAGTCAAAAAGAGATTGGAGGAAATCGTGTTTGGAAAGTCAGCAGTTAAAAAATAAAAAATATTAAATCAGGACTTGAAAGACACTGTACTCCCCAGTCTGAAAGCACTTTTTTTTACTCTCTCTGGGGAGTTTACATGAAAGGTGAGTTCTCAGTTCTGCGTGCTGCCGGGGTGCTCCTGATGTCTCCATCCTTGCTCCTCAGGGCAGTGCTGTGGGAAGGCAAGGCACTGGTTGGAGCCATCAGTTATGTAGATCTATTAATCCTATATCCTTGCTGGATGTGCTAGCAACTCTAGAGTTTGGAATAAGGTATAATGAGTATGGTGAGGTGTATCATGTAACTTTTTGACCAGGCCTGGCTCCTAGGACTGGCATTTTAAGTGAACAGCAGGTTATGGCCTTCTCTAGGAGGAAAAGGAGGAAACTGTGCACGGACCATTTCAGTGACCAGAACAACAATAACCAGTGTTAGCTAACCAAGAAAGTGCTTCCTAAATACTTGTGCTTTGTTTGAATTCATTATTCATCAGGATATTTTAATTTCTGTTTTCTTTCCCAGTTCATTCGAATCCTTCCCTTGTACTTGTTTGTGTTTTAATTGAATTAGAAATCTGACACGAGAGTCCTGTTTTTCTAAATGCAATGCCAGAATCTGCCCATGGCCGCACTTTATCCACCAGCATTTTCTGAGGTCTGTAATGTATCACACATTTCCTTGACACAATGGAGCTCTGATTTTATTTGATCTTTGTGATTTTTCTACAGTGTTAATTATAATCAACCAGAGCCTTTCACATAGAAAAGCAGAATTAAGTCCTGACATTATTGCATTTGTCAGTATTTTCCACTTACAGGCCTTTTTATAAACCTAATAAAGCACTGACATAATACACTTGAACTTAGAATGTCTCCTTTGCTTTGAAATAGAAGTTTGATGATGATACATGAATCCATATTTGCTGCCCAAATCATCTGTATAGCTGACAAATTCCTAGTGTGGAAGCAGTGTCCATGATGGCTGTTAGGTCTGTGCTAGATATTTAATATTCTCAGGATAATCCTAATAGGCTGTGTTGGTCAATTCAGTGTCTGATGTATCATAGCTTGAAGAGATATTTAGCAGTTAGCTTCTAAAGGAAATTCATGTTTCCATTAATAAATATAAAACATCCTAATTAATGTTTCCTTTTTAAATGATAATTTTTAACTACCCACACATTTTATTTTCAAGTGACGGCTGGAAATGCTACAAGCTCAGAAGACTCTACTTCGTTTGGGTGTGCAGGGACATTGAGTCCTTCCGCTGGTTTGCAGATCTGCTCTGTATGTTGCATAACAAGGTAATGGGTGTTGTTTGGAGGGATCCTGACAACTTAAATGCAAGGTATGCCCACACCTCACACCTGGCATCCTGGAGAGAATGGCAGCCTTGCTCAGAATGAGTGAGCTCCAGCAGTAGCTTGGGCTGCCTGATCCAGGCTTCATTTATTCCTGGAGCTGCAGAAACCACTTTGAGTATCCATCACCAATGTTTCATTGCAGTGTTGCCATGTTCCAGTAGCCTGGGTGCTTACTGTGTCCAGGCTACTTTATGAGAATGGAAGAAGCAGCACATGCAGTCTGGGAAGCCTTGAGTGGCCTTTAGTCATTTGGCTACTAGGCAGATGGAGAAGGGAGTGGTATTTACAATTTCAAGTGTCTTTTAAGAGCCATGTAGCTTCCTAAAATAATATTTTTTACACAGCATGATGTGCTATGCAAGCACATCCTCTTCATTAAAAAGCTTACTTCACTGATGCTGAAACCCATGTCCCTCAGCTTCACAAGTGTGAAGTGACTTCACACTTACATTAAGAAAAAGAATATTATTTCACTAGCTTTTTTTATCATCCTTCCAGCTTTGGCAGGAGAATCGGCCAGACTATATAAATATCCAGCTGTACCTCAGTCAAACAGATGGAATACAGGTATGTGGCCAAATGTTGTTTGTAAACTAAACCAGACCTTGGAGTAATAGGAAATGCAAACTGTCAGTCAAAGGCGGAAGGGTATTACTGCAGATGTAAAAGCAGGAGATGAGGCCATAAACTCAGGTGACTGATTCATTAATAGAGCAATCCCCACAGCATTAAGAAAGTCTAGTGCAGTATCCTTAACTTGATTAGGTGTGGGCAGAAATCCATATCTTCCTTTTCTAGGAACAGGGTCCTTCCAGGCCAGGCCATGGACCAGACAGTTGGCCGTGTTTGGTGGGAAATCTGCATCGTTTCTGGGCTAAGAACCAAACCAGAATTGTTCTAGGAACTTGCAAGCTCAAATCTTCTTTTCCCATATATATTTTGAAAGAATCTAGCTATTTTTAAAAGCTTTTTATTTCATTGTCTCATATATAGATGAAAAGTAGAAGTTTGTTGATGTGTAAGACTGGAAATTATACTGAACTGTCAATTGACATGTATTGCCAATGCTAAGGCCAGCCTAATTCCCCAGCTCTTGGCATCTCCTGTAATTATTTATGCTTGCAATCTTCATTTTATATTATTTAGCACCTAAGCCTAGGTACACTTCTTTACTGTGCCATGTCAGGAAGCTTTGCTTTGACTACAGTGGGCTCACAGCCAAGCCTAACAATTACTGCAAAGCATGAAACGCAGTGAAAAGCCATGCCCAAAGGATTTTGATCTGCCTTCTATCAGGTGGAGATAACATAATATTCACAGCTCTGGTAGGAGCACAATCCTGTAGTTTAAATAATGTGATAGCTACAGTAGTTATGACTATGACAAATGTAATGCCTGGACAACATATGTTGATGGAAATGTAGTGCTTGAAAATGCCTAATTGATGAATTGTTAGCTTAAAATTAAAAACTGAAGCAGGACTGCAATGCAATGAGATAGGGAAAGTGAAATAATAGTCAATTCAAAAGGAGTTTTCTGATACTGTGTAGTATACAAATACTGCATAGTGATACTAATTAAGGAGCTGCTGAATTTATTTAAATCATCTTTTTGGTTGAAGTTCTTCTTTAAAGTCACTTTTTTCTGTGGCTGTTGAACAAAGCTGCCATGAAGCATAATGCTGCTCGTAATTGCTCAGTCTCCATGTCCACACAGGTGGTGTGTTCACTGATGTTAGTCCAAGGTGCTGACTGCTGCCAAAATTTGCACGGGCAGTTGCACTTCATACTCCCTTTGCGAGAAGCCTTTGTGCCTGTGTGGTAAGAGCCCACCCTGCAGCAAGTGCCTCTTGTCTATAAAAGCCCCAAGGAGGCTGACTTGATCAGGACTGTGTTTGCACTGGTGTGAGCCATGTTTCAGGTTGTTCAGCAATGGAGGGGATGCAGGAGCCTAGATGTGTAACTCTCTACATCTTACTGCTGCCTTAGGACAGCACACCCAGGGTTGTGCCCTGCAATGGGAGGGCATTTCACCTTATCAAAATGCTGGTGAGTTAGCATTCTGGAATGGAGTGGGTTCCATCTGGGGAGCAGTTTTGGCTGCTTTCTGCTGTTACAGCAGCTCAATTCAGCTGGCAAACTACTTTCAGGGTGAAAAGTAAGATTTCCCTTGTTACTTTTTCAGACCTAGTCATCTTAATAGTTACTTGTACAAAGTTTAAAAAAAAAGACTTCAGACAGAAATACAATTTTTGCATCAGCAGCATTTCTTCCAGCTTAGCATTAAAAGCCAGTGTGGGAATGAGTAATAGGAGCATGGTTATTGTTTTATGGCTTAAGTAAATTGGTTTAAAAGTAATGTGGAAATTAATGAGCAGCTGCATGAGGGACAATGTATAATGAACACCAAGGAGAGCTATTGAAAAGGTACTGAGCAGAGGTATTGGTGCATAAAATGGCTGCAGTTCTCATCACAGCCTTTGGTACTTGTGCTCAGGTTTTACACCTCAGCACTCTGGCAAGTCAGCCAATAGCAGAAATGGGAGCCCTGGGTGATATGAGGCAATTTGCAAATCAGGCAGAATGAAGTTTTTTGTTTCTTACAGAAAATAATTGGTGAAAAATACCAAGCTTTAAACTCCAGGCTTTTGATTGGACGACCCCGGTGGAAGCTCCTGTTTGATGACATAGCAAAGTGCAATCAGAGGTAAGTGCTTGTCCGCTTGAAGGATGCCACAGTTCAACCCTGGCCTTGTCTGTTTCTAGCTATGTTTGTATGACTATATTTCTGGGATTTATCTTGCTGAGACATAGCCTATACAAACTGAAACACTTTTTTTTTTTATGCTTAGTGCAGTTCAACTTTTCATGCAGCTGAGATGTTCAGTGGCTCAGAAAATAAAAGTAGCAGATTTCCATCTCACTGCACAGAGATTACATATGTTCTTGTCCATGGCACTGTCTTGCTTTCAACATATATTGGCTTTTTATATAAAGTTATATTTCTTAAAATTGTTGATTCATGATTTGTAATGCTAATTTACAAACAGAATTCACAAGGAAAAATTTGAATTACCTGTATTGGTTTTATTCAGAAGATTTATTGTCTTTGGGTATTTCTAGCTATTTTTTATTCTCTGTTAAAACCTGTCAATACCTTTTTATGTGCTGGGAAAGAATATTGTGGTCTGAAACAAGACAAGTGTAAACCAGAGAACACATGCATATGGAATGTCTTTGTCCAGATCCAGCTTTGTTGAGTATTTTACCCTCTACTAGCAGTTTATTGCCCCAAAAGTTGATCTGGAAGAGGTTACTATGTGAATCTTCCCTAATCCACTTCTGGCAAAGTTGTTGGTGTGGGAGCAAACCCCCCTGAGAAGCTGTTGATAGTAATCTGGGTGCATCAGGTTGAGAGGTGCTGTGCAGAACTTTCCCTCAAGAACGTTTTGTCCTTTCTTGCACTTGCAAAGTGAAATCTGCCCATGGCTTGTTGACTCCTCTCTTCTGGGGCTAGATATGACTTGGGGTCACTGAGCCCTGGCTCTTGAGAAGTACTGAGTGCCGAATGGATCACTGTGGCCAGTGTGAGCTGCTGACAATACTTGTCTTAGATTCAGGTCATAGAGCAGGATGCCCCAAAGGCTGCTATGTCTCTAGCAGAATTTTCAGCCTTAAAGAAAGGGTTTAGAGCAAAGACCATGGGAAAGAAAGGGAAACAGAGAGTTCAGAGAACCAAGCTGACTCTCCAGGTTCAAAGGTCTCCAACAGTGGACTGTTGACCTTTTATACTCCATTCTAATGTCTTTGTTTAACTATGTGAGTGTAGTTTTAAAAGATGAAAGTGATGAGGTTCCTGCCACTTCCTGCCAAGGATGTAAGAGCACATAATATAGATGAAGCCATTAGTAGTAGTAGTAGTTATACTTGATTTTTCTTTTTTGCTTTCCACTGCATTATTCCTATTTAGACTTCAATCTGCATTTTCACATCAGGTCTTTAAATTGGGCCACCATTTTTAAGCAAGGTGTCTTTAATACCTAAATAATGTTCTGACTCTTTTGTCAGACATCTTCCTAAGATGTAGGTTTGTCATTCTTTGTCATCTCTCTGTCAAGGTGTATATAGGTCTGTACCTATGGATGTAGTTATGTGTCATGATGCACAATAGCAAGGCCCTTGACAAACTCGGCTGTCCTGCAAAAATTTACCTTTTGTAGGTAATTATTCTCCATATTTCCTTGGATGAGATGGGAGCTTCAGTTTTTCCCTCTGGTCCAATTTCCAGGTCTGCTGCTAGCTTTATTTCAGTTCTTATTTCTCTGTAACTTTCCACCTAAATGTCCCTGCTGCTATACAGAGACCAAAAAAACCAAACTAAAGCAAAACAGGTCAATCAAGTTGTTTCCAACATCTGGTGCCAGTGTTCAGACTTTCACATTTGCAATCATCCCCTTGGGCTTGTTTATGGGCAGCCAAGATGTTTTCCAGTTTTTATCTTGTGATTTTAGGAAAAGCTGCATATAAATAAACAGGCAGCTGGCAAAGCTCTCACTGTGTAGCTGTCTGATTGCTGTGTGCTTTGTGAATTGTTGCTGTTGTTGCTGTTTGGGTCCCAAATAAGCAAAGTGCATTTGTAAGTGTCTGAGCTTTGCCAGACCTTCAGAGCATGACATGGGACAACCCAGCATCAGGTTCCTGATCCTTTTTTTTTGGGAAAAGAGGAGCAGATGTATGCCATCTACTGTTCATATTTCATATGACACCTGCAGACCCAGCAACCTGAATTGGAACAGTTACATAATAAATTACTGGTCTTTTTCTTTCATGCTTTTTTGGGGGTATGGAGCAACAGCCTTGTTCCTGTTCAATTATGTCCTGGATGAAAAGCTTGCACCATGCTCAGTTTGCTTAGGTCAAATGGGCATGTGCTTTTTTCCAGGTAGAGAACAACCTAGAAAAATACATGAGTACCTGTAGGAGAAAAACGCATGGAGCACCATGATACATTTCTCATGTGCTCTAAAGGAAAAACTTCTCTCTAGGAATGAATGTGGGATTTAAAACAGGAACATTTCAAGTCCTGACTCTGTCCTCTCAATGTAGCAAAGTATTTAATCTCTCTCAGGTCCTGCTGTTCACAAAATGGATGTAAGAATATGTGCCAACCTACTCATCCTAGAGGAATGCTGAGGAGTTACTTGCTTAGTGCTCTGAATGAGTAAATTCTATATGAAGTTTATTATTATTACAAAGAATGGCTTATAACATAGTTTCCTTAACTGTAAACATCTCAATGGTATTCATGAAGATTTTCAGACATAGGACTACACAGCTGCCTGTTTTCACCTTAGCCACAAAGTGAGCCTTTGTCCCAAACAAGTGATAGATAAAGCCCATCAGCTCAGGGTAGCAATATGCTGTTCCACGTTGTAGCTTTCCTCAGCCACCTTTCTGTTTGTGTTCCAGCAGCCAGGCAGGAGCTGGGCGAGGCAGGGGGGAGGCATCAGCAGGCACATGGACACATGAGGAAGGTAGATGGTTTGTGAAGGGGTGTCCAGACCAGATGCTGATGGTGGGTATCCCAGGGAGGCAGTCTGAGAGCCTGTGGCCCACTGCACAGAACAGTGATTCAGCTGGGTTTCAGGAAACCTTGGCCATGGGTTGGCTGCTGGCTTTGTTGGCTGTTTATATGTAATGAAAGAGAAAGGAGAAGCTGAACTCTTTGGGGTTTATTTTATCAGTTCACTGTACTAATTAGACTAAAGAAAAATAAAAACAAAACAAACAAACAAAAAAAACCCAACAACAACATTAATTCTTTCAATTAAATACACAGTAGAAGACAGAGTCTTGCTGGCAGCTCATGAATCCTTTTTCTCCAGTGTGCACAGATTAGAGGGAGTTCAGAGTCTGCAAGTGCTGAGGAATCTTTTTTGAGAGCAACAAGCAACAACTCTCTCATTATTGCAACAAATTCAGCCTCCAGCACACCACCCATTGCCATTAAAAGGAGTACTGCCAGAGCAGGAAAGCTTAATAGATAAACATAAGGGTGAGAAAAGTACGACTTAGGACTTTGCCATGGATTGATATGAGAGATGGTGTCATTGAAGGCAATTAAAATCTACCTTTTAAGTTACCTGCATAACTTTGTGATGATTTCTGATGTTTGAGTGCTCAGTTGTACCATGCCAGAGTTGCTGTGCACTGATGCAGTGTGCACTGCCATGCTATTCCAGCAGCTGCCTGACACCTGACACATACATGTAGCGGTATGCGCCGAAGATTGCTTCTTCCTCCTCTTATCAAACACATGCACAGGGAGCTTTAAACTGAGTTTGATTATCTTGCATATGCTAAAATATTGTGTATTAAATAGTTACTGGGTAAAACACCAAAATAGTTCTGGAAGCAGAGCCCAGAATCCAAATCTCAAGCCTCTTGGTGAGTGCTGTAGATCATAATAGTTAGAGCCATGTTCCCTCTTGTGTGCTTTTTCTTCATCCTTGTAAATCTTTAAGATCTTTTTCTGCAGTGGCAAAATTTCAGCAGGAAGAAGATGATTTTTTTTTTTTTTCATGATACAGAAAAGGCATCACTGTATTGTCTTTCCCTGCTTCCTTTCCTTCTCCTCATTTTTTAAAAAAGGGAGATAGTGAATATTGTGAATGGCTCAGTATCCCTGTGGTGGATGTGCTTTGTTCTGGTGCTGGCTACAGTTCTGAGCCCTCAAAATGTTGTATGACTGTGAGTCTGACAGCCTGTTTTTAAGGTGACCAGAGAGCAAAGAGCTGTTGTTGCTAGAGTGTTGTGAAAAAGTCAGGTTGACTAATGAACCTGGGCTGAGATCTATGGGTGATGAACAAGGATCATACTCTGTGTTTGACTTTTTGTGAGATTTCCCCATATAGATGTTGAAGGAAGAACTGCATGCTAATGTGAAAGTAAAGCAGTAAAATTATTCTGTTGCTGCAAGAAATAATAATCATGGGTTAGTAGTGCTCTGTTTTCATTAGTGTAACAAATCACTGTTAGTGACTAGATAAGCTTGTGTAATTCATGAGTTACACTACGGAAGTCTTTACAGTGAGACATATTTTTAACAAAAAAGTGATTAATCATGAAAAATAATAGAATGGAAAATAGTAATATTTTGTCATTTGACATCTTGAGACTAAGATGAAGCACTTCTTGTTAGAGTTTTCTTAGTCAGATAAATTGTAGGGTTTGTTGTAGGGATTCTTGGGAGAGGTATGGTGGCTTCAGTAAAACTAACTGCTTCATCTAGTGAGCTGTTCTCACCTTAAAATCAATATGTAGGTGGCTTATGTATAATACCATGAGGCCCTGATCTACTTCTTTCTATTACTGGAAATTACTGTTATTCACAATGTCATAATTTCCCCTTCCCTCTTTTTTTTTTTTTTTTCTTTAACAGGAAGACCATTGGAGTTTTCTGCTGTGGACCAAACAAAATCTCTAAGATACTCCATAAACTGAGCAACAGCAGCAACTCATATGGGACAAGGTTTGAGTACAATAAAGAATCCTTCAGCTGAAAGTCTGTTGGAGCAAGACTCTCTAGAAGATAAAAGTGCAATTTTTTGTTTGTACAATGTAAAAGTTCATCTGTGGTTTAAACAGACAGAAATGTACCAAAGAATAGCACAAACATTTTTATTTATGATTATTTAAGACTGATGGATGCAGCAGTATACCAACAAATAATCAGTGCTTTTACTCAAATGTGCTCACACAATATTTGTGGTGGGAGTGATTCTTTGGATTTGTTGATGTTAATTAAAAAGTACAGAAGCTGGGGATAGACACGATTGCTTTAAAAGCTGATGGAAGAAGAATCTGTGGAATGTTTGAACTTCTTCCACTTCAGTCCTCTGAAGCTGGATCAGTAAATTAAACCCCAGGTTAATCCAAGTGGCAAAACATAGTATTACAAAGACTCTTGCTTTTGTTGGTATACATATCTTACGGCTTTGGGGTGAAAATACTCCATATTAGAGATTTTATTATACATTGCAGAACTGGGATTCTGTATTTAAAATATAGAGTGTTACTCTTGCTAGTCTACTTCTGTAATGAAGTTAACCTAAGGAAAAGTGAGCACAATTGTGTAGCACCAGTGGGCAGCCTCTGCTGTGATGTTAGTCACAGCCTTTTGGCAAGCACACATCTGTACGTGGAGAACTCTGTGTCTTGCATCAATTCAGTATTCAGTGAGTTTGCAAAATAATTATGATTTATGCAGCCATAAAGATGGAGCAAGAAAAGCAATGAACAGGAGCAGACAGGATCTGAAGTTTTATTATACCACACACTCAACATGGAAGTTGCCCTCACTCTGCACTCACATGCCCTGAATGTCAAGTACTTCAAGCTTTCAGATATGCTGATTATTTTACAGCACAGCCAGTTGAAAGCCAGTTTTAGAGGTCCCAGAGTATGTTTGGTTGACTGTGATCCTTTCAGTATCTTCCCTGGAGCCACCCTGTTTTCCCTGGTGCCACTTAAAGCAGGATGAGACCAGATCTGCAGCAGAGTGAGAATGAACCCCTCGGCTCTGTGGCTCCTTGGATGATGTGTGCAGATACAAACCTTGCAGGAGCCGCAGTGTGCTTTCAGTTTGTTCCATAGAGGAAGATCTCAAAACATCCAAAATTTAAGCTCTCCTTCCCTTCTTCTCCTCTCAGCTGTTTTCTGCCCCTAATTGCCATGGGAGAGCTAAAGGTTGAAACTGGTACTTCATAACTTTTTGGTTCTGAGGAGCACGTTTTCTTCTCCATCCAAATAGCAGATCCAACTTCCTTTATTTCATCTTCTCTCCCTTTTCCTTACTTTGCTGAGATGAGGACACTTAAACAGGAATCAGACACTTAGCTGGCATAAATAGGCACCACTCTAATGTCTCTTAATAGAGCAGCATCACTTTAACATGGTGAAAACCTTCCCTTTGATCTCCAGCAGAAGCTTGGGAGCAGAACAGTGTAGTGTTTGCAGCATACAGGGGCAGAGGCTGGCTTGAGAACTCTGTGCCTGTGGTTCACCTGTATTTAGGGCAGTGCTTTTGATTTCATTTACATCTGTCCAATGAATACCTTTTTAATTTTAGTGGGAAAAGCACTGAATTTTTGCTCAGGACACAGACTCTCTACAGGAGTCTGTAAGTATCAATGTGAGTGTTCAGAGGGAAGCGTTTTTCTAGTAGGTGGTGTATAGGCATAATGTATGTATAACTAGTGAGGATGACTTTGGTCTTTGCCTTGGCAGTTTCTGCTCAGGAATTGCATTTGGTGAGCAATCAGTGAAGCCACAAGGGAATGTGTTCCTCAGTGTCCGGAGCTGGCACTGAAGTCTTTACCTCTGGCTCTGCCCAATTTGAAATCCAGAGAGAAGGAGAAGAACCAGAGATAGACAAATTCCTACTGACAAAAATTCTCGAAGTAGCCCAGATGAGAGAAACCAAAATAGAAATGCAGTGTGAGATGGGAGCCTACATTACAGCTACTGATTTTAATTTTTTTCTCTTTGAGGCTGAAAGGACCATTCTTTTCCTACTGGATCTCATTCATCCATCACTGTAAAACAGCAAAGGATTAGATTTTTTTTAATCAGTAGGATTTATTTCTAATACTACCTGCATAGATTTTATAATAAATATAAAACTGTTGGCAAAATGTGTAGATACTGAATATTGTAGATTCTGCATACTTTCTTTGTTTTCTGGCTGTTAGTTTAAAACATGATTGAAATCATGCCTGCATCTGTTACCCACAACTAGAAAGTGATCTTCTCCTCTAGTTTCAGGATCTACTATCTCATGCTTTTAAAATACAGTTTAGAGTCATCTAATCACTATGTTGTTTGTGGTTTTACATCTCCTCAACAGATATTGGCTCCATTACCATATAATGAGCAGCTAGTTTTGCAGTTAGCTCTGTGCTAAAGCAGATTATGTTTTCTGGCTCAGCTTCTGTATAGGTAACACTTTGTAATTAAAATACTATTACTAGTACTTTGCTCTTACTCTGCATTGTTGCAGGAGTTGATGCTGTTTGTGGGCATGTTAGACACATTAAGCAGTGCTGTCACAGCAAGACTGAAGCAGATCCAGGCTGTCCTCTTTCTCTCTTTGTGCTGTATCTGACTCAGCTGACCCACTTGTAAAACAAGCCCTGGACCGTCTGCCTTTCTGGAGTGTTTTGAGGCTTAATTAATGTTTTGGGATCACTTCTGTGCACAAGCAGCAGAAAGATCTAATTGCTATGTAAATGTGCTTCTGTTTAATTTTGGTTAAACCTTTCTGTTGCTGATCTGAGTAATTGCTAGACCAGGTGAGGAAGAGTTTGGGGAAAGTCTAAAAGCTTCAGTTGCTTTTTTTCCTTTCCCTTGAGCTATGCTTCTGTAAGAGAGGCAAAATGTTTAAGAGTTGTTGAGTGACTGTGACTTGGCTTCAGGAGTGGCAGGTATTATGATAAACACAATCTTTCTACAGGCTATGTTGTCATTGCTCTTTCTGAGTGTGTGTCCAGCTTGCAAAACAGATTCAAGCCCTCTTTAAACTCCATTGCTTTTATATCTGTAAGCCAAGTGTATGTAAAAATATAACTCAGTGCCAGGCAAGTAGGTGAAGGCTGACAGCACTCAATTCCACATTTGCAGATCAACTGGAGTTATGTAATTGAGCATCATTTTTCACTTTAAGCTGTGTCCTGTGAGTCTGTCATAAGTGTCCTGCTGGCAGGGGAAGGATCCCTCCCTGTATTCTCCCAGTTTTCACTCAGTCTTTCATAAAGCTGCTCTCAGTGTTTGTTCGGCAGGATCTTTTGTTTTATTCATCAGAATTGTTTCAGGACCTTTTTTTTAGACCAGGAATGTTTCCATACCACGATGCAAACCAAGCCCTCTCCCTGCAACAAGAATCTGGCCCTTGTGCAGCAGTGTGGGACACAGCTAACAGCAGGATTAATCAGATGTACCCAAGACCCATTCCCATATCACTGAGATTACTTGTGTGAGTGAATGTCCACTGCCACAACAAAAAACAGCAGAGATGAGCCCTGATGTTGCATGGGAAGGCCTGGTGGGAGCTGACCTTCACCACTGAAGTCTGCAGAACAGTCTGTCCCTCCACAATGATTATTCCAGCCCCGTGTTTGGAGCAACATTATCCTGTTTCAGTATGTGTTACTACTACTAGCACGTGGGCTCTTTCTTGTCTTTTTTCTCCTTTTGTGGTCTCTAGCACATAGGTGGCAAAGAGATTTGAAGCTGGCTGAGAGAGGGCAGATGAAGCATTAAGTAGCAGACCAGCTGTGTTGGGAACAGTAATTCAGCTATAACAGCCTAACAGAGCAGAGAAGTAATGGTTTAGTAGGACTTGGAGAACAGCAGCCTAAGAGTAAAACCTCTACTCAACGTTTAATGCACCAGGTTATAGTTTCAAAGCACAAGACATGGCTTAGGGGAAGCTGGCATGAGGCTAAAGAGTCATTGCTTATAGCAGTTCAAGGACCATAAGTCAGAGAAGAGGCATAGTTTTTAAAATGCAATGTTTAGTCTTGAAAAATAAGAGGACTTCTAGGGAGATTAATTTTCGCTTCAGCCTGGCAATCACTTCATAAGCTCACTTGTTTGATATAAGGTAAGGTGGATCTGTTCTTCTCTGGATTATGCATTCAATTTTTCTGACGATTTTCCATCCCTCAGAATTTCAACCAGTTTTTATTATTTCAGCCAAAAGGATTTAACAAGAAGGTTTAATCAAAATGCCACTGGTGCCTGTGCTGAGCTGAGGTTTTCTGCTATGAATGTAATTTTTCAGGGATATATATATATATATAATATATAGCTGATGATTCAACTGTGAACGGTGATTTGGGATTTGCATTGTTTCTGCTGCTGGTGTATTTCATTAAGGCCGCTATGGTGATGCACTGTAAAAATGTATGGAGCTGAAATGAGACTCTTCCTTCCCATAAAGAGTGGTATTTTAGTGCCTGTACTAAGCATAGTAAATCCTAGAAACTAAAATTTCCTTTGTAGGCACAGTAGATTAATTAGCATCTTTTAAGGTTAAAAACTCTGAGTCCTCTGCTGGACTGACATGTATAATGAATGCTCTGACACAAAGGTTTTGAGCAACAAATGCTTCTTAAAGGACTGGATGAGGATGAGGATATGTGAAGGTTTAGTATCCTGCTAATTGTATCACCCATGTTGCAAGAGGGATGGGAGCCGTTTTGGTACCAAGGAATGCTGTGCACTTCCTCTGATGTTAAGAATATCTCTGAACTTGCAGTGGATCCTCAAGGTTCACTATGCCTGAAGTGCTGTATTCCCTAGAGGGATCCTATTTGTAAGAGACAGGTGCTGGATCTGTACTAAGAGCAGTACATGGGCTCAGAGAGAAAGCTGGAAAAAGCCACATGTCCCAGTTGCAGATTGCTTCTCAACAGAGCCCTTGGATGAGAGGGAAGGCTGGTCTTGAACCTCCAGGTAAGCTGCTGTCAACTGAGGAGCAACCCAAGGAGGGCAGGAGAGGATGATGAATGCCAACAACAAACAGCGTAAAATATTTGGTACCTGGGAACCAAGGGGAAAGAGGAGACATTCTTCTTAGCTTCTCAATGTTAGAAATTAAAAGCAAACCCCATTTTCTAGATGTTGATACAGAGTCTCCCTGGGGGTTGAGAGCTAATGTATGCAAATACATTGCATTTCCATGCACCACACAGTGCTAAAGCCCAGAAGAAAACTAGTATATTTTAGCAAACACCCTGAAAATAAGCAATTCCTTTGAAATAAAACCTTTACTCTTTCAAGTTAACCTACTTCTAAAAAGCATCTACTTCTATTCTGCAGCTGTGGAATTGGGAAATAGCTTTACCTGTTAACTCCTTTTCACCAAAATACTGAAGTGTAGAGTTCTCTGTGTCAGCTGTAAGTATCTTTGACAGTTTGATAAATAACTTTTGTGTTTGTTGCTGCTGACCCTAGGAAAGGACAGCCTTGAGGCTGAGAACCAGTGTTACATAAATGTCTAGTGTACATAGCAACGCTGAGCAGGGAGACGCTGCTGCATCACTTTTGATGCACCAGTCACTCATTAAAATTCTGTCATTGCAAGGTCATGTTGCTCATCTCATACTCTGCAGCCCTGGGGAAGAAATTTGGATGAGAGGTGGGGGAGGAAAAGCAAAAACTTCCTCCTTGTGCTGTAACCAAGAATATATTCATCGACAGCAGGGCACATGTTTTGATTTCAAAAGAGCATGCCATTTCTTTTTCAGGGATAACGGGTTCCCTCCTGTGCTGTGTCATGGTGTTTGTGTGTTAGAAGTGTAACACAGTGATAACGGGTTGCTTCCGAATTGAATAAATAACGCCTCTGAGCTTTTGCTTCTCCCTTGAATAGTCTGAGAGAAATGCAAAATACCAGTGAGCATATAGAGTGGACTGTGTCCCAAGCTGCACTCAGCACAACCTGGTTAGGAATGCTGCACAGCAGCTCTGCAAGCTGCTGGGAGGAAGCGAGGCTGAGGTTTTGGGTTTGGTCCCCGGATGGACCATTCACTTAAATGATGATCCTTGTGGGTCCTTTCCAACTCAGACTATTCTGTGATTCTGTGTAACTGTTTTAAGGAGAACAGTGAAATATGTCAGTGATACATGATCTGTGGTCAGAAGCAGGCCAGGTCGCCACATTGGCTGTCACATCTCTGAACCAGGACCGAGCCAGTCCTAGGTATGCTTTGGTGAAAGGAGAGTCAGGGGCTCTTGGACTGAGTCTGCAGATGAAAAGTGCTTTAGACAGAGCTCAAAGAGTCTCCTGGGTGCATTCCAAGCCTGGAGTTCGGAGCTCTCATACCTGAGGGTGAATTGTGTAGGCAATGAGCTGATCTGAGCTTTGGGTAAGGTCTCAGTTCTATGGTTAGCTGAAGGTATGGACATACCCTGTGTATTTCTCTAGCTTTGTAGGAGCATGTTCAGGGACAGGGAAGCAGGTTATGTTATTGCACCTCATTAGGTGTTAGATGCTTGAAAGCATGTACTGCTTAGAACAGATGAGGACAGTGAATGCCAGCTTCCACCCACAACTGAATATACCCTGCCTTTTCCAGTAGTGTTCCTGAAGAATAAATGGCCAAGTCTCTGCATTGAAGACACAAGTGATGCATTTTTCTTTTATTGTATCAGAGCAACATAATTAACTTAAAAAATATTTGCCATGAATGTGAAGTTGCACTTAATGACATTTTTCTTTTTGACTGTTTAAGCCCTAGTAACAGTTTGATACACACTTTTTGGCAAAAATATAATGCCCCAAAGCTTAAAAATGTGGCTGAGATGGAACTTGGCAAGGGATCTCCACCTGATAGTGAAATATCATTGTCTGTTGGAACTGGATGCATTTGTGCTTCATTCATCTTGGTCTGCTCCATCACCATGGAAGATTAGAGGGAGCAGAGCTTTCAGATCTTTCTCTCCCTCTGCATATAACCTCGGCCTTCATCTAGAGGTGTATTTAAACCTTTGGATCACTAGATGCGTCATCAGCCATGTATCACATAGTTCTTCTTTTGTACTCTTCCTCCCTCCTTAGCACAAATTATATCAGGAGGCTTTTTCCGCTCTTTGTTTCCCATAACTCAGGAAAATGCCATTTTGGGAAATGCAGAGGGCCTCAATTTTAATTGCTTCATACACCAACCTGTATAATGCTCCTTGTGTGCGCAATCCAAGGGGGCTCTTGTAGTCCCTTTGATTAGCTTCAGGAAAATGAGGGGTGCATCCCAATGCTGGAGATGCTTCTGACACTCACAAGAGGAGCAGTGCTAAAAGGGCAGCTATGTAGAAAATGGGAAAACTCATAAGAGCAAAGATTACATCATCTGCTGAATGAGAATTTGGGATTTGGCTTTGTGAGAGTCAGATCACTAGTGGCTACCACTGAAATTAAGTCATGCTTCTGCTCTCACACGTAGGCATTTCAAGACACTGGGCAGTGATGGAAAGGGTTTCTTTTTTCAATTACCTTTGCTATTTCCATACAGCCCCTACTTTACCAGCTGCATATAACTTCCTTCTTTCACTGATTAATTATTTCTTTGCCTGGTTTCTTTGCTTCTGGGAGCTTGAGAGCTCATTGTTTATAAAGGGAAGAAGTGTGCTGTTAAGCAGACAACTCCCAACACCTATGTTCAGCTCTGCATCTTTGAGAGAGAGGTGCTGATGCTGCTGTGAGTGCAGAAGGGCAGAGCTTTCACTGAGTTGTGACCAGGACCCTCTTCCAGGCTTCATATATTGATGAAGCTCTGGGCTTATTAATTAGCTTTTTCTGAAATAGGTACCCTTAGTCCAAATGTGCCAGGGTGTGAAACCCTTAGTGGCACTGAGTTTTCCTCTCTCTGTGTTCCTTCTGATCATTTGCAGGAGCAAATTTGATGAAACACATTTGGGTAAGAAATGGTTCTCTTGGTCTATGGTGGTAGTTGAGAAGAAAAGTCATAATTGGAGTATCTTCCCTCAAACTGATGTGCAAAATAGTGTTTTGGATGGCCCAGCTATATTAGTTCCATAATATGAATATAGGCAGTTTCTTTAAATATCTATGATTTTTTATGTAAATCTGACTTTATGTTCAGAACCAACCAAACAAAAAAAATCCGAAACGTCTTTTTTATGTTGAAAATGCTCGTATGTCCAAAACACATTTGTTTTAAAAGAATTCTTCCAAGATGCTTAGAAGAAGAGTGGAAACTAGCTCAAAAAACTCATTTTCTAATAGCAAAGCATTCTTCGGTTTTGGTTGGTTTTTTTTTTTTTTGAACCTTCATTAGTGAAAAAGTAGAGTTCAAACTAAGCAATAGTACCACAGTCTGAGCTTCAGCAATTCAGTATCTTCTATTTAAAGTAAAGCATCTCTCTAGGATCATGTCTACACTGTCATCTGAACCTTCCAGGCAATGTCTGTAGCAGATCTAGACTTGGGTTGCTGTGAGAAGAAGACATGATCCATTTTTGTCTTACTTTGGGTATTTATTTGGGACTCAAAAGCCATGTGAGAGTTTGATGTGTTAAACAGACAGGAATTGGAGCCACTGGTGGAAGTATGAGTATGCTGAAAAGTCCTTAGCCTGTTATCCCATTAGTCAAAATAATTAAAGTCCAGTCTCAGGAAGGAAGATGGCCACTAAGGAAATTCTTGCCATCCCTAAAGTTTGAAAAGTGCAATAAAATAAGGTCAGCTTTCCATTTTTTCTTTTAAGAAGTGAGCCCTGGAAATAGATATTTACAGTTAATATGTATGATGTGATTGAAAAATTAATGTCTTGTCTTTTCTGTAGCTGCGAGTCATAACTTTTTCATTTCTGACCACATTCCTCTTCCTCTCTCACTCTTCCCTGTCCCAAAAGGAAGAGACCAGAAAATTCTTTCTGAATTTCCACTTCTGTAATTATATATCTTTTCCACTAGAGGTGAAATAAAAAAAAAAATATTAAAAAGGAAGGCGACATTTACTTTTTATATCTCCATACAATGTGCAAGATAACAATTTTGGAAAGTATTCACATAAATGTCCACAATTTTGAGCACTAAATGTTCTTTTCAGAGGTGTCTGTTTATATTAATGCAATTTCAATCTGTTCTTATGCTTTTATAGATCAGGATGTGGTACAATTCTTTGAAAAGAAATATCTGCTTAGTTTCCAAGTGGAACACAAAGCAAAATTTGGCCTTGAACTTGCATTTGTAAGTTTTTCACCCAAGCTTGACTTTAAGAAAAATAATAGTACTTACTGGGTTCATGTCTATAACAAGTCATACTCTTGCTGTATGAAATGCCCCATTTTGTAGCTTCAGCTTGCTGACCCCCAAAACAACAGAGGAACTTTGTTTCAATTTGACTGGAAGAACTTAAATACATCGCTGTTGTACCTTCATGCCTCATAAACCTTCAAAGAGTAAGCAATAAGCTGTCTGGGTCTGTTAGTTCCACTAAAATGAAGGAAAATTTTTACCAGTTATCTATATAATAAGGCAGAACTAGAAAACTGATCATTAAAAAAATCTCTGGGTTTTTATTTTCCTATTTTTTGCAGTTTGTTTATTCTTCTCTCTTTTATGAGTCATGTGCAGAACTCTTCCCACAGTGTCCCTTTCTTAGTTACATGGTGTTGTCAGGGTAGATGAAATCTGTTGGCTAAATAAAGGACTCAGGCAGGGCTCTTGAGCTTGATCCCATGTTCTTACAGAGTTCCCCTACAAACCAGTGACTGTGCAGGATTTTCAGAGTAACATGAAGAGTTCAAATTCACTGAGATTTTTATACCCAACTGCATTAGGTTTCTTTCTAAAATCCCATCTTCTTTTTGCCTACCATTAAAATGGGGATAGCCACACGGGGAAAAAGTTTGGATTTGCCTGGCAGGTAGTGCTTCATTTTAAATTTTTTTAGTGAAAATACAAACTCCTGGTTGCAATATGGAAGGGAGGCTTCTTGCCCAAAATACTTGTCTGAATTAGCCATTTTATCTTAATGGCAGTCCTGACAACTAAAGTATTTGGCTGATGAGTTCTTTTGCTGTTCAGATGTTACTTTTACATTCTGTTATATTAGCAGATCATCTTAATGTGATTTTATGTCTCTTATTGTATTTGACAAAGCACCATATGTTTATACATCATGTAATTATGGCACTGTACTCTAAAGGTATTTACTTTACAGGAAGTTTCATGACTTTGGAATAAACAACCATTCCAAGACTGAGCAAAGCATGATTGAGTGGTTGTTTGTGACCTGATTTCAGTTAATTATATACTGCCTTAATCGTGGAAGCATTGTGTGTGTGCATGTGTGTGTGTGTGTGTGTGTGTGTGTGACTGCTGGTAGGGAGGCTGGGATGTCTCTCCTTAGCAGAAGATCTGATATTCTTTGTGGTGCACTAGACTTGCTGAAACATCCACACAGAATTCATAGATATGCTGCAGGAGACCCAGGATCCTCTGGCATGACAGCAGCAAGTTGGGTAGGATACCCAAAGTACTAGAATTGTACTAGGCACCCTTGTTTAGTCACCCAGAGTAATTTTCTGCCTTAGAACATGAGCATGTGCTTACTTCATATGTATCTGTGGCTGTGAGACCACCTCAGAGGCAGAATACATTATTTCATCCTCATCATCATGCACACTGGAATTTAGGAGAATACCAGTCCACTACACTCTGTCCGTGTTTATAGCAGAGTGGAAGGAGAAAGGAACACCTGCCTGATTACAACCCATCAAAACTGGTGATGAGCAAAGTTTCTTCCCATATCAGAAGCTTGTAGAAATCTTCCCCACCTGTGCTGAACACTTGAGTGCCTGACATTGAAACGTGCTCTGGGCATTTGCTTTTGTCTGCTTGCTCTGGTGAAGTATTTCAGTGTGCTCAGACCATGCTGCTTTTGATAGATATTAATCTGAGAGCTGATATTTTATTATGGTCTTCAAGACACTGCTGATTCTACAGCAAATCTGCAACAACTGGTTTAAAACTCTTAATTCACTTCCCAGTGATGTGTTTAGGGGTCTGTTGGGTGCACTGCAGACTAAAGCACGCACTTCCTGCAAGATGTTGAATGCTCTGGGGGCTCTCCGCCTAATCATTTCTGCATTTGGCAGGGTTGTGGGTTTTTACAGGAGAACTGCACATCAAACATAGATTAATACAAGTGTGCAGAGTTCTCTGAGATTTTTCAGAATTGTTAACAGTTCTGGGTAATTTATTTCTGAGAAGTGAGGGTATGTAGTTAAACTGCATATATTGATCTCAGAGTTGTACTTTTTACTTTCTCTTTACAGAGTGGTGTTGATAAAATAATGGGAAAAGGTACCATCCCTCCAGAAAAAGGAATTTAAGAGCAGCAAAATAAAAAACAAAAACCAAAAAAACCCCTGTATTTTCCTTCTGATTTTTTTAGTTGTTAAATTAAAAACTTATAGGGAAAGCTAACAGCTGCACTTTAAAGTTCCTGATCTCTGCAGAAGGTGTTTATTTACACTAAATGCAGGGTCAGTGGCAGGCAGGGCAGAGTTATCAGAGGAAAAAGATTTTTTTTCAAAAATTATGATAGTGTTTTTCATTAAGAGGAATGTCCTTTCCACTCACCTTCCCCATGCCAAGTAATGAGGTTTGGCAAAATGTGTTTTGGCTCTTGAGCTTTAATTTTCTGTCTGATATTTGGAGACTTTTTATGGGAAACTATATATTTCACAAATGCATTTGATCAAGAGAGAAATCTCAGTGTTCATGCGAGAAGATTATGGAAAGGGGAACACAAATTTATTGTTTTTTACAAAACCTGGCTGAAACTGCTGATGAAAATAATAAATTCTCCTTACGGTGGACAACAAAGAAAGTCTTGCAGTCTGCTGTTTTCCTGATGGAAGAGGAAAACTGCTTCCTTCTCCAACTTCAACCCTATATGGGCATCATGGACCATGGCAAATTCTTGATAACGAGGTGAGCAGAAGGATGGGCAACAGTAGGCAAAGACTGCTCACAGTAACCTGTGAGCTTTTCTAGAGAGAAAACGAGTATCTGTGGGCTCAGCAGCAGCTGTCTGCCTGACCTGGGCACCAACCTCACAGAAGTTATTTAATGGACCAAATCTCCTAATGTAAATGAACACCCTTCTCACATTGTCAGATAGATGTGAAAACTTTTGAAGACCCTCCAGGGAGATCTGATACACCTGACTTGGAATTTTGCTTTTCAGGGTACAAAATAATTTCAAAAGTGATTTTTTTCCCCTCCATTGGTGTTACAGGGAACATAGTCATTTATTTGAAGAATGCAGCATGACATGGGCTGCAAGTGTGGGTACTGCTTGGATATGAGCTGGTTCCCCTGTCCTAAATGATCTCAGATGAAAAACCATTTGAAAAATCTAAACCATCTGAGGAGTACACACAGGTGATTCCTCAACTGTTCCTGATTCTAATACTGGAGTAAAAGGAATAAGTACCCCCTTAGCTGGTCTCAGCAACCTCTGAAAGCTGGGGAGCAGCTGTACAATCCAGTCACAGCCTTGGTCACAGTAGGGAATGTAATGATTTGTCTTACATGTGCCCTAGGCCTGTGGATGTTACAGGAGGGCTGAAGAGTGGCACTTGGATTGTTTCTCCTGAAAACCCATCATCATTTTTTGTAAGTAAGATTACTTTAAATGATCTGCATTTCTCATCTGTTTTCTGACTCCTCCCAAATTTAATTCCTATTAATTTAATGGCTCCTTAATATATCATTTCTTGTTAGGATATGCATAAGCATTAGACTGGCCTTAACAACACTGTGCTTTCTAATCTGAAATTGTATATTGTGGATTGATGACTGATGGTCTGAGTAACCAGCAGCTTGTCTTTTTCCCCAAAACTATTTCCCAGTTTACCTGAAACTTAATTTTTTTAGGCTACAGTTTCTGATCTCTCTACAGATTAATTTTGCAAACAAACCTTCTTGTAACTTTTTACAGTAATGTGTCTTCTTGTAGGAGAACGTCACCTTAATTAAGATGACTGCAGGGATTTCCCAATCTGTCATCTGTGCCCAGACTGCTAAACACAATTTCTGAAGTGACAGCCTCCCTGCAGACATCCCTGTTTGGTTCTCGAGTTCCTTGACTCAGAGGATGAGACAAAAGGCCACCACTTTTAAGACCTGGTGTCTAGACTTTTGGATTTAGGCACATGGGTTTCACTAAAAGGGAAGAGTCTGACTAGAAGTGAGCTGATTTTCTGAAGTAGCTGTGAGGAAGACAGAAAAGCCTGGTTTTCATTTCTGCTCTCAAATGAGAGTCCAATTCTCCCTGAATATTAATAGATGGTTGATGCTTTGAAAGTCTGGATTAAATAATTGAGACCACAGACTATAGAATTAAAAAACTGAAATTAATTTTAAAGTAGCATCTCAAGTCCATGATGGTGTAAAATAGGACACTAAATTCTCTAGTGGTCTGTATCTTCAGTGGTGACTAGTATTAACTGGCAAAATTAAATTTAAAACAAATTGCCTCTGTTCTGAATTGAGAAATCTTATATTCACTTGCTTTTGTTATAAATGGCTATAATATCATCAAGATGAAAGGAGAGCTGGAAAAAGTCCTTATAGTCCCTGTTTACAAACATACACACACTATTAATATTATAAGCGTACAGTTATTTCAATATTTTTAGTTTTGCCATGAGTATATGAATTTTGCTGTCAGCTAATCATTAGTAGCTCTGTTACTCTGGGATGTGTGTGGTGCTTCAATTTAAAAAAAATCACATTTTCTCATAATTGCACCATTAAGTATTTCTGTATACAAATACTGTTATTTTGGTAATTTGGTATTTTTCAAGCTGTTTAACCATGTATATATTTCATACAGGTCATCTGATAATGTAATTAGTCCATAGTAAATTTAGCAGAGCACCACCTTGAAAATCTCCCATAAATTTATAAGATGGTCCAGGCCTTCAAGTTCTTAATATGACTTCCTGATACATTTAGCCCTATGACAAAATAGACAGCATTTTTTTTTAATGTTATTGCCTTTGCAAGAAGGGACCACATGCAAAGAATTTAAGCTTTTAGCATTTCTTCCAGAAATATATTTTATTCTGTGGACTTCTTTCAGACTATTTATTTGTAATAGGTTGCACAAAGGAGAGAAGGCGAGTAAAGACATTAATGCTGTAGAAAATTTCCTATAGTTTGTCACTGGTGGGGAGAAACAGAACCTGATTACAAGGAAGGTTATATTGGTATGCAAGGTAAAGGAAACCCTTGTTCATGGCTCTGCCTTAAAAGTTAAGAAGCTCTGCAGACTACTCTATTTATATTTATGGCATTGTTGTCCAAAGTGCTTGGGAAGATGTACACCAGTTTGGAAGTATAGCCCATTGAAATGGTTGTGCTTAAGTTTTCAAAGAAACCAGAAGGAAATTGATTACAGGAAAATGTGTGAAAATTTGTTGACAATATGTAATTCACCTGAAAGTGCCTTGTTTGCTTATTATTGCCTGAGAATGTTTCTTTCACTTGAAAACAGTGAAGGAAAGCAAGGAGGTGCTTTTAGACATCCAAGTTCCTTTAAAACCTATGAGACATACTACATACACAACCATGCCTGTCATCACCACCACTATACCAGCCTCAAAACTGTGGGACAGTCCCACAACTGAGCCGCTGGGGATCCCTTTTCTGGTCAGATAAGACAGTGCAGTTTGGGATGATAGGAGAGGGAATCAAGTTTCATGAAGGGATGTGATCAGAAGGGCTAAGCCACAGTGAAGGTCCAGAATTAATGTTTGCTGCCAAGTTCTTGTTTCAAAGAGGATATTCTTTTTTACTGTATGTGGGGAAAGTACTTATTTTTCTATGTATTTTATTAGTCAATCAGATTTCTAGAACTTTTTTGGCATCATGTGAATTCTGCATAACTGATGCTCTCAAGAGAAGGAGGTAATGGAGATCAGGGGAAATGCCCATTCATGAAATGGGGGCACCAGAAAGCCTAGTGGGTAGAAGATGGCTATGCAGAAGTAAGCTGATTTTGTAGTTATGAGTTATTTAATATCTAATTCAAATCTTATTACAAAAATTACAGTTAGAGGCCATTTTTAATGACGAGGTCTCATTGCTGCCAATTTTCAGCTCACTATGGAGTCTGATTCAAAATTTACATCCATAAACATGCGGGTACACAGATGGTGA